GCAACGACAGTAACAGGCATAATAAGGGAGTCGGAATTATTGTTTCAAAAAACATCGCAGAATCAGTGACGGTATTCATCCCGAATTCCGACAGAACAATGCTTTTGAAGATTGACGCAAAACCTTTTGCACTGAACATACAAGTCAACACTCCCACATCAGAATCCACAGAAGAAGAAAGCAACGAGTTCTACGCAGAAATCTCCGAACTACTGAAACATACGAAGTCCCATGAATTGAATCTCATCATTGGAGACTTTAATTCCAAAGTAGGATCAGGTGCGGTGGAGGGAATAGTTGGTGAGCATGGTCTTAGAATAAGGAACAACAGGGGTGACAAACTCATTCAATTCTGCCAACAAGAAAACTTCAAAATAACGAACACATGGTTTGGCTACATCCGAGAAGGCTCTAAACTTGGAAGTGATATCAAGATGGTAAAGGTAACATAGTACACAACCAAATCGACTTTATACAGATAAGCAAAAGATTCGCATCATCAGTCATCAGAACAAGCACCTACACAGGAGCTGACGTTTTGTCAGACCAAAACCTGTTTAAGGCAAAGATTAGAATCAAAATTACAATATCTATAAAACGGAAGGCTGCTAGAAGATTCGATTTGGAACAACTGTAAAATACTACATCCAGCCATAATATCTCTGATGAAATTAACATCAAACTTGCTAACATAGATCACCAAAACACAAACTACTTGGAGATTTGGAATCAAACTGCAGAAATCCTTGCAAATGCACCAAACAATCTGCCTACTAAAGAACATCAAGCTAAAGCAATATGGATGACTGAAGAGATTTTAGAACTAATGAATGAGACACGATCCTATAAGAACAAAAATTACAACAAATATAGAGATCTCAAAAGAACTATCAGATCTTAAATTAGTCAAGCAAAGACCAACTGGCTGGAACAAGAATGTAGCGAAATAGAAAGACTGCAAAACTTACACGATGACTTCAATTTACACAAAAAAATTAAATTAGCATCTGGGGTGTAGACGGAAAAAGAACAAAGGCTTGTTATTTGATAACAATTGCAAGCTGGTAATTGATGCCCATGAAAAGTCAAATATCTGGGAGAAATTTATCAATAAGTTATTTGAAGATAACACCAAGAGCACCACCATTAACGATCACCATCAAGAACTATGGTCAATAAACAAAGATGAGATCTAAAAAGCCATCAAATCATCTAACAACAAGGAGCAGTTGGTCCAGATGAAATACCAACAGAAATCATCAAGCTTTTAGACAACAAAAACCTAGCTGTGCTAGAATGGTATTTCAATGGTATTTACGACAGTGGTGTATATCCTCAAGATTGGCTGAAATCTACATTCATTGCAATACCTAAATCCAAAACCACTAGAAAATGCAGTGAATATAGGCTTATAAGACATATAATATAGTATAAAACATATAGCTTACAGCTTATAAAACATATAACATATAGTATAAACGATCTTCAACTTCTTTTTGAAAAAGTTAATGAGAAGAGTAGAGATTTTGGCCAATCCATGAATATTGAAAAAATCAAGTACATGATTATCAGTAAAAACGACTACCATACAACGATGCTTCCATTAAAATTGGAACTAAAGCTATTGAACGAGTAGCTTAGTTTAAATACCTTGGTTGCGGGCTAAATGAAGAGTGGACATCAGATTAAGAAATCAAACGTCAAATAGAGATGGCTAGAAACTCTGACATGCAATAGCAATGTCAGCATCAACTTACGTATTCGCTACGTTAAATGATAAGTCTGGTCCATTCTCTATATGGCTTGGAATCTTGGACTTTAAAAATTCAAACAATGAACAAAATCGAAACGTTTGAAATGTGGTGCTACAGGCGTATTCTAAAGATTTCTTGGACGGACAACGTTTCAAACGAAGAAGTTCTAACCAGATTAAAAAAAAAGATAAAAAACTCCTAAAAATCATCAAAATAAGAAAAACGAGTTATTTTGGTCATATCAACCGAGGTCCAAAATATGAATTGCTGCAACTGATTGTGAAAGGCAGAATCGAAGGCAAACGCGGCGTGGGAAGAAAACAAATGTCTTGGTTGAGGAACATCCGACACTGGACTGAGTTAAGAACGATTGAAGACTTGACACATACTGCTACAGACAGAGAGAACTTCAAAAACGATATTTCTAACATATTGTAATTTATATGATTGTATAACATTCAATTTTTGAATAAACAATTAAAGAAGAAGAATTATATATTGAAAACTTAAACTTAAATTTAAACCTAAACCTTTTCTCAAAAGAATACTTATCTGTGCATTCACATTCCAAGGCAGTCAAAGCAACGAATTCAATAGTGCATAATTGGAAGATTACTTCAATAATCCTGGTATAATGCTAGTAACCACAAAGGAAAAACAAAAATTTAAACTTCCAACCAGTTAGCTCGTTAGAAAATAAAATTATTATTAAAAATAATTGAATAATTGATTATTAAAACAATAAATTATTTCAAAAGATTTCAAGTGAAAACAATTTATGCTTAATTGTGTTTTCTCGATCCAGACGATTGTAAGAGAGTTTAAAAACAACATACACATATACAATCACGGTTGCCACTTGAAAATTTTTTTCTGTACCAAAATTGGTTTAAAAAGGTACCATTTCTGTAAAAAAAGGTCCAAAATTTTTTTGGACCTTTTTGTTTTCTCGTTCTGTGTTTTTCATAGTGTTATAAATGAAAAAAATATAAAATAGAGCAAAGTTGCATTTATAAAAAAAATTAATTGGAAATATCCACAATAAAGTTGGGTCGTCAGAAATGTACCATTTTTTTAAACATGAGTACCAAACGAAAAAAATAAAAAAAAAAGTACCAATTTTGGTACTAAAGTACCATAAGTGGCAACCGTGCTTTCAATTCCTAACTCTCCTCTCTTTCTTAACCGCTCTCTTTCTCTCTTCTCTTGTCGAGAAAATTCAAGTATAGTTCCCAAAAGAGCAAATTATCGCCAAATCAAATTAATTTCATTTGATTTGATGTGAAAAATTTTGAACTGAATCTAAAGTTCATGTTAGGGGCCTGTTATGTAGATATTCATATGACGAATGGTCATGGCAGTTTTACGCTGTGTTTGGGTACTCATGGAAGATATAAAAATGTCAATTTATTATTATGTTATTGTATAATAATTGTTAACAATACTTACAAAATTATGTTATATGGCTTTCTTTCAAATCCGAAAGTATGAGAATTTGATTATTAGCTGTTATAAAATAATGCCAGTGGTTCCTGGCATGTTTTCCCCAAAATGTATGACAATTGTAGTAATTTGCTCCCAAAAACAAATTGACCAATGTGATGAAGTACACAAAGCCTTATCACCATGACCAAATTTAAACTAACATTTTTTTTCTCACTCTCATAAAAACAATTTCAGTTTTGACCTGCCAATGACTTTCTGCATAACATGGCAAGTAGACCTATTGTCGATAAAGAGTTAGACAGAATTGATAAATACGGAAATTTTGTTTCCGAGTCTAGAATGTAATATTAAAACACATCATTTAATGAAAATACGAGACTGTAAAAACATTTCGAATACACAAAAAACAAAAAAACAAGTTTTGTTAAAATTCGACGATGCCAAATTTCAAAGTTTTTCGAAATGAAAAAACAAGTTTGGAAAAGCTGCGTTCTCATAAATTTGATATGTACGAGTATTTCAATTTTTCGCTAAAACTCATAACCAGTATCTAAAGTATTTAATATTTTTAAAATATAGCTCAAAAATGTTAATTGACAGATGTGCTTTGTAAGAAGTGCCTTTAAGAGCACAACTGGGTTGTGAGCTCAACTGGGTTGTGCGGTTGATGCTTGGAAATTTTTAATGGAAAAAGCATAAGAATGCAGTACCCGTAGTTCACACTCTTCCTTAATACTACGTGAGTTATTTGAGATGCATTTTTACATGCATCAGAAATGTAGCCGTTCAAAATTATTGCAAAAACGTGTTCCATGAGCGTTTTAATGAAACTCTAAGCAGGGAGAACATACTTGGGACGCAGAACTTGTGTTGTTGTGTTGTTGTGTTGTTCTTCTATCATTTGGAATTTAAACTCGCGTAGGAGTAAATTTAATTTCGTTTCGAAGGCACACTTCCGTCTTGAACTTATAGACCAATGTATAGACCAATGTTTATTATTTTACAATACCATATGTCTTTATATTATTATCAATGTGCTGACAATGTGCAAAACAGTCTCATCATATTCTTCTACAATATTTGCTTTTCATTTTTAGGCACGTTTACATGATACTTATTTCTTCAAAGTACTATAATAATTGTTTGCTTTCAGATGGAACTTTTGCATAAGTAAAATAATTAAAACCAAAAATTAGAAATTGATCAAAATATATTAGAGACTAAGGCTCACAATGGAGAGAGTACTGTTACTTTCTGTATGTAAAAACTTACATACTTGTATCAGACTCACGATAACCCATATTTTGTAAATAAGACAATAAAATGAAATCTTAATTAATCTTAGTCAATTACTCTCTGAGATATGTGCAAAACAAAAGTCTTCAAAATTTTAAATATTTATTGGAAAAATTTATATTTAAATTTAACAGTAATTTTAAATATGAAAAGAGTTTATTGACACAAACGCAAACTGATTGACCGCAAACACAAGAACCATAATTTTATATTATTTTGGATAACTGTTTTTATTTTTGACTGACTTAAACATTTTAGAGTATATATGTATATCCTGATTAGTTCTAACTAAGAGGATTGAACTCATTACTCTTTAGTATGCGGTAATGAGTATAATTGATCGGTCGATCTAGATTATATTAAAATTGGTAGTTTAACAGTTCATACGATGATACTATAATACGATGAGTTGATCAATAAAATGATTAGTAGATAAGCTATAATATACTTTAAAAACAAATATAATCCATTAAAATATATATTTGTATATGTTTCTCTTTTTAGCTGGTGCTTAAAAAAAGGTTTGAGTGGTGGTTCTTCAAAAACAAATGCAAAGATATGTCTGAGCAAAAAAATATAAGTAGATACATAAAAGCGGCTTGCATAGTGGCACTAGTTTGTTTCCTTGTTTATGTGTTTATACTACCAGGTAGTAAAACTAAAAACGATAAGCAAATTTTGCGAAAAATACAACCCGATTACTCAGAAATCAATTACTCGGATTTCATGAATCACTCGCTAATAAGCGATGTGGATTGGACAAATGAGGGTATGCATACACTTTAACTTAATTACAATAAATCAGAAACTAATTGAAAAGATTTGTTTTAAATTTTCTGAAATTACTTATATGAAAAAATAGATATAGAAAATGATATAGATGAAATTAATAATAGCATTCCGGATAACTTTATAAGTGATTATGTGACACTAACAAAAGTAGATAATGTCGGTTTGAATGCAGATGATATGTTGTATGAATCGAAACGGAAACATAATTATAATAAAAATTTAAAAACAAAAGGTCAGCATGCAATTTGAAATTCCTTAAAAATAAATTAAATATAATTTCATTCTTAGATAACTATTCTGCATTTAGCAAAACGGGCACATTTCGAAGCAAATCTAGTCAGATTTGGGATCCACATCCCGAATATATATTTAATGCATTTGGTCGTAAATTTCACATGCTTTTACATCAGGATACCTCTTTTATTCCTCCGAAAACATTTAGAGTATGTTAATGCAATTTACATATTTTTAATGTTGAAAAAAATTTAAATGCAAGATTTTCTTGATTTTCTTGATTTTCAGGTAATACGTATTTTAAATAATAGAACTGAAGAAGAAGAAGAAGGAGAGGAGCATTATCTTGGCTGCTACTATAAAGGTGTTATACAAGATGACATCCAATCAACAGTGGCTGTTTCATTGTGCCATGGCATGGTAGGCTTCACTAATATTATTCTCTTGCCATCGCGATTCATACATATTTCACGATCTTACGGTTTAAATTGCAAGAATCGATTAAATGCATAAAAAAATAGACCGAATCAATGAATTATAATTGTAAAAAAAATCTTAATTAGATTAATTTCATTGCTAAAACTTACATACATAATATGTGTAAATTAGCAAAACAAGTCTTTAGAAGTATATGAATACTGAATACATTTAATTCTATTCACAGACTGGTTACATAAAAACAAGTTTTGGTACGTTACTGATTCAACCGGTCAACCAAACGAATGACGATTCGGCAGACATTGTACACAAAGTGTGGCGACATTCAAGTCGGAACGGTAGACATGCTGTCTCCGGTAATCTTGACATGGATTTAGGAGTGTTAGAGCAACACATTAACAAAACGCGGTTACGCAAAAAACGAAACTATGTTGATCGAAACTTATTTACAATGGAAGTATTAATTGCAGTTGATCGCTCTATGAACGAGTTCCACAAAGAAGACTTACATTCATATATTTTAACCTTAATATCAATAGTATCTAATATATTTTCGGATGCAAGTATAGGTAATTCCATTTACATATCAGTTGCCAAGATTCTGATAATACAAGATGATTTGATGAGAATGAAAAGTAAGTTGAATATTCAATATTACAATTATTACAATTATTTGTATGTATATATTATGTTATATTAAAGTTATATGTTATATTAATTCAAAACAACTAGCTTCATAGCATGTAAACAGTTTTTTATAATGTATTTTATCAAACACTTCAATATTCTACTTTTTTAAACACTTGATAAACTCAACATTATATAGAACCTATCTTATTTTATATTTTTAACAGTTTTTATATTCCTTTTTCCTATTAAATGAAAAATCAAATATTTTGACTGAAAACGGAAAAGAAAGCTTTAATCATAAATACGGGTATATGATATATGTATGTATGTCATATACACTGTTTTTCAGTGTTTTTCAGTGTATATGACTGGGTAGTACCAGTTGAATAGTTAATCCACCATTTAGAAGAAAAAAATTAAAAGAAACGCGAACATAAAATAAATCTTGTAAATGCAACATTTAGAAGTTTTCATATGATCTGTACATCTTTGAGTGCTAGATTGCATAAACAAAATGGAAAATATTTAAAAATGAAAAATAAAAAATATTTATTTATTTAAAAAATTTACTCTTATTTGGAATAGCAAGACTTCAACAAGTTACGAAATGACATTTATACAATATATGCTATCAAATAACTTCTAATTTTAAGAGTTTATTTCAAATTTTAGCTACTTCTGCTTCTGCGTTGCTAAAGAGCTTTTGTCATTTCCTTTCAAACGGCAAATATCATTACGATACAGCAATGCTAATAACCCGGTAAAGTTTTTCTTATTTAGAATTGACCCAACAGAATTTCTCACTGTTTCCTTTTTTATATTTTTTCTATTGCCAGAAATCAGATATGTCGCAATGAACGTGCAGCGATGTGTGACACCCTGGGTTTAGCTGAGTTGGGTACTGTTTGTAAGCGGCACTCCTGCTCAATTGTACAGGACAATGGATTACCAGCTGCTTTTACCATTGCACATGAACTAGGTCATATGTACGATCATATGTAACAAAATCTTAATGCATGATAACTAAAATATGTTTAATATCCATTTTACAGTTTAAATATGCCGCATGATGATGACGATCGTTGCAAAATGTTCAATAAGCTGGGAACAAAAAGAAAGCATATTATGTCAAGTGTGATGGGTAAAGATATTCACCCTTGGTCCTGGTCGGATTGTTCACGTTATTATGTATCAGAATTTCTAGAGTAAGTCTAAACTTCCTTTGTCAAATATTATACTAAACAGTTACCTAATTAAATAATTTTTATGTTCATTTTATTTGGTATTGTTATGTTATATTCTACGCTTATCACCACAACCAAAAAGAAAAGAAGATACATCATGTTTAGAGGATACACGTACCGTATCAATTAAAAATTACAACACCAAATTACCTGGTGAGATATATTCATTGGATCAGCAATGTCAGTTAATAGACGGCAGAGACTATGTATTTACAAATAGAGGAGATGAATGCAAGCAATTGTGGTGCATCTTTAAAGGGAGTTATTATTCAAGTAATTTACCATGGGCTGATGGTACTCCGTGCCGAAACAATCGTTATTGGTGCCAAAAAGGTGAATGCGTTTCTCGTGAGGGAAATACGCTACAAGTTGTTAATGGAGGATGGGGTCATTGGAGTTCATTTACACCATGTAGTTTAACATGTGGAGGGGGAGTGCAAGAATCTCAACGTGAGTGCAATAATCCACTTCCCAGAAATGGGGGGAAGTATTGCGCCGGTAGTCGTAAAAAGTACCGCTCATGTAATGCACAAAGTTGTCCTCCCGGTTCTATGGACTCACGAGAACAGCAATGTTACGATATGAATGGACGAGATTTGAGTATCAAAGGTGTTAGAACACCAGCAAAATGGATACCCAAATATGGGCGTAAGCTTATACTGAACACCTATGTTTTGTTTAATAATTTAGTGGGTTATATTTAGTTTCTTTAAAGGATAAATGCAAACTGTTTTGCCGTCTCGAAGACAATAGTGCATACTTTCAACTTTCTGATAAGGTAAAAGACGGAACAACATGTTCCTTTGACAGTTTTGATAAGTGTGTAAATGGCATTTGCCGTCCAGCAGGTTGCGACAATGAACTTAATTCGCTCGCCAAACTAGGTAAATATAATTTTGAGAAACTTATTTCTTTTTATCTATTATATCAGTGTGCTTTGTTTACTTAGTTCACTTGCGAACATATTTTGTCAAAAGTGTGGTTGCGCGTTTAAAATTAATTAAATTTTTTTACATTCGTAGATAAATGTGGCGTATGTGAAGGAAATAATGATACATGTGAGGATTATACCGGAAATTTTTATGTGTCTGATCTGCATAAACTACAACCAAAAAAAAATTCACATTTTTATTATGTCACAACAATACCAAAAGGTACTTTATGAAAACAATAATATTAGATTAATATTACTATTAATATTTCATTGTATATTACAATTATTGTGTGGCTTATCCCGAGGTAGTCAATCGGCAACATGCTCTATCATCGAAAAAAGCAGGCTTCTTCTTAGGCTTCTTCCCATCTCAATACAATTTTTACCTTTCCCAAAACTCGGTTACATTTCTAAATGCTCTTTTTCAATTTTTTGCTTTGGTCTCCGGAATATAATAGTAAATTTACGTTTCAACAGTTCTGAATCTAAGCCATCTAGTTTATTTCATTTAAATCGATCAAGTGTTTATGGAATTGCATTTAGGCCTTATTCGGCCGAACGCTTTGCGTTTGGAAATTTGGGATTAACCTTCGTACAACACATAAAGTGACTGTGTCAGGTATATTGATTGGCAATGATAAATATTCAAATGATAAATATGTAATGCTAATCGGTAATGATAATGATAACTTTATTTCTGAAAATTTTGAGTGTTTGAATTCCAAATTGAGAATTTATTTCTTTTTTGGGGAAATTTTGTAACATACGCTCTGTAAAACGCTTTCAAAATAAAATGATATATAACTATTTGAAATATTTGAATTATTTAATAGCAATAAAAAAATTTATAAATTACACGAGCCAGTGCTCGTATAGAAAACTTCTTTAGTTTTTTATGAATGTTCACATATTCGTACTAATCATTTAAGGCAATAATTCAAGTCTACATCAAACTTTGTAATATACTTTATAAAAAAGAAATATATAAATATATATATATATATATATATATATATTATATATATATATATATATATATATATAGTATTGAGATGAAAAGTACTTCTCCGCTTCACCACTTATAGCTTCCATAACTCCATAACGAATAGAATCCTGAATTACCTACATTCGCTTATCTTGATATTTTCGGGAAATCTCAAAGAACCGAAATCCCCAGATTAATCTCCCTAACCGCAATGAACTTAAGTGCATGTAACAAGTAGTCACAACACATTTTATGCATGTAATAAGTAGTCACAACATTTGATATTTTGAGATTTTCAATTTCTTGGGATAATAAAACTAATAGGTTATTATATATGGTAGAATTCGATAACAAAACTTTGTAAACGACTATAACTTGTATGAAACTGAATATACGGCATATGATATTTTCGTCTCATGAAACTAGAAATCATTTTCAAAATGCATAAAATGTAACAATAAATCTCTATCTGAATATTGTTCCCAATTTTAAATACTCCATTTATTTCCTTTAAGGAGCGTCCAATATTGTTGTAACTCAACCAGAAGATCAAAACATGACGTATATCGTACTAAGGGATGACGAAGGTAATTCTTTATTAAGTGGCAACAGTGTTATACCGACTTATCGTATTGTAAGCTTCTATGCTGGTGTAACCATTGAATACAATGGATCCGCAAATAAAGTCGAAAGAGTGAATACCACGTACTCCCTTAAACTGAAACGTGATTTGATAGTAGAGGTAATCATATCCCTTATCTTTTTTTAATAATTTAAACGCAATCAATTTTAAACTAACTATTGAAAATCTTTCATAGATTATATCAATTTTAACAAATGCCGAACTAAGTAACGACTCCTTACTTGTAACTTACACATACACGATGGAGAAACCCAGATATAGTGAACCGCAGGTGGAGATTTATCGTTGGGAAATGCAACAATGGAGCAACTGTGATGCTCTATGCGAAGGAAGGCAACATCGTTTACCTGTTTGCATTAGCACGACAGTAGCTCTTAAAGTTGCACCACAATATTGCGATGAAATATCGAAACCAGCAACGGAGTACAGAAATTGTAATTCGGATTGTGTGCTTAAGTGTGTGGCCTTAGATCCTTAGATAATTTGTGGCTAAAATTAGACTTAATATAATTTTATTTGTGTTTGCAGTTTAAATCTGACAAGTATTTCGGAATGCTCAGCTACATGTGGAATAAGAGGGACTCGTGAACGGATCTATCACTGCATTCAAACTTTTACTGATATTAATCGTTCGAATATCGTTGACTTATCGTTTTGTAAGTCAAAATATGAAGTTATTCAACATGAGCCATGCCACGAAGGCTGTTGGAATTACACCGACTGGACAACAGTAAATATATTTGATTTATTTTGATAAATTATATATAAATTTCTTATTAATACTTCTTAATAAAACAGTGCTCAAAATCATGTGGAAGTGGCAGTCAAACTCGTAATGTGGCTTGTTTTCTCAATGAAACCAGAGTAAATGATACACTTTGCAACCCAATTAAAAAAAAATGGAATGATGCATTAATAAAGTCATGTAATCCACAACGTTGTCCAGATTATGAGGAATACGCGGTAATATTTATCATTAAAATTTTTTTTTTTGATTTTCACAATATTTAGTTAAATTTATAGACACATTCAAGCTTAGTACCAATTTATTGGCGATATAGTGAATGGGGTCCATGTAACGAGCAGTGCGAAAAAAACCGTACTGTAATTTGCATAAATCCTAGCGGCTGTCCTGAAGATAAACGGCCATTTTCTAGACGAAAATGTTGCAATATTAAATACGTGTCTAATTGGTCCAAGGTAATTTCCTTAATTGTTATAATTTAGATATAATGAATAACCATATTTAAATTAATTGAATAACTGTTAGTGTTCGGTGGATTGCGGAAATGGAACCCGAGTTAAGGAAATGCATTGCGCTCGCGTTTATAGACCAGACGTGAAAGGAGATCAGCGGAAACGTATCATTATTGATAATTCATATTGTAAAAGTTTAAGAAAACCTACACCAAAACGTCGTACAAAGCCGTGCAAGGTTAGTTGCAAGTGGTCTACATCAAATTGGACTCAATGTCCAGCAGATTGTAGCGAAGAGTATCAATCGCGATCTGTTTACTGCGAATCATCTTTAGGAAATCCTATAACTTACAAATACTGTGATGCGACAAAAAGGCCGCCTTCTAAAAAAATGTGTAATAATTGTATCAGAAAAGAATTAAAAATTATATCTAAGGTATATATTTCTATGTAGTTTATATTTTAATTGCGTTACGTTTTATGTTCACCATTTCATTTAAATTTTTCTATCTTTAAAGTGCAATTGTCAGGGTATACGTCGACGTCGAAACCTTTGTTATGATTCATCGAAAAGACGCATACAGTGCCCAACAAAAGAAAATATTTTTAAAGAAAAATGCAAGCCTCCTCGAGAATGTCTACCAAAATCTTGTGAAGAGATACGACGCTTTTATCAAATATATCAGGATGGTGAATACGAAATTTTTGTTAACTCGCTATCCAAACAAATTTACTGTTACGACATGAGAAATTCGCCCAAAGAATATGTGACTGTTAATCCTAATGAAAATTACTCAATATATTATGGATATAAAACAAGTGATCCGGATACTTGCCCACCCTTGTCAAGGCATCGTGAACATCGCGACACAAACATAAACTCAGGACGAACAACATTTCATAAAATACGTGTTAATATTACAGACTTACGTGTTATAGAGAATGATTTTATATTTGCTAATACAATTGGTACGCAGCAGGCATTTGGATCAGCAGGTGACTGCTATAATCGAAATATGGAATGTCCGCAGGGTGATTTCTCAATAAATTTAGAACACACAGGCTTTAGAATACGACCGGGCACTAAGTGGGATCGATTTGGGAATAGCGTCATAATGAAGGAATCAAATTTGGTAAGGACATAAAATATAAGATAAAGTATGTATAATAATTAACTTTTTTACATGTACTCTGCATGTAGTTTGAAAAATCATTAACAATGCGCCGTGCACTTTGCGGCGGTTACTGTGGGCGGTGTTCGATATCTCAGCGATACGGTCTATATCTTAGTGTCTGAGAATAGTAAGATGTGTGAAAGACGATTCATAAGAAATCTACATGTGGTGCTATTTTTGATAACAATTTACATATTGTTGCCAATTAACAAAAATAATGCATTTACTACTTGAGTCATAATGAATATTATTATAATTAATTAGAAACTCAAAAAGATTATGTAATAAGCGTGGGTTGAACGTAAATCGCTCAAACTACACGTGAACCACTCCGAAACGCTTTCATTAAAAGTAATTTGTAAAGCTGTTATACGACCAATGAATTATGAATTACTACCCTTTGTTTCATTGAAACTATTTTTAATATGCAAATCGTTCTGTTTATATATAAAATTATATACATATAAACATGAATATTTGGTACAGGTTAAATGTTCTGAATTTGGGACAAAAGCGTAATACAAATATTTACAATCAATTTTTTATAAAAGTTGAAGCTTTCTTTCTTAGCTTTTTTATATAAGCTTTCTTATAGTTAGCAGTTTATAAATATATATATTAAAAAATAAATACGGATTAAAATATTTTATATATAAGGCGAATCGTGATCATGTAAATTTGATATATACTGATATATATGAAAAATTTTAGGCACAACAAATCAAGAGTATTACATTTTATTAATTGTTAATTAAGTTTATCATTTTTTGATAAAATTGAGTCCAAGTTAACTAATGGAAACAGTTTTGTGTTCAAAATTAACTATACTTAGATTAAGAATATCGTGCAAAATTATTAATAGTATTTATTTGTGTGTTAACATAGTTTCCTAAGTTCTGTACATCCTTGGTATACTTCCAATTTTAAACTTTTATTTACATTTATAAGTCTTCTTGTTATGAATAAAATTTCTATACGAAGTATTTTGCATACGCCGCAAGCTTACAATCAAAGAGATCAAATCTGTCACTAAGCATAAGCAACTAAGTTTAGCAACAAATCTATTGAAATATTTATATTATTATAAAGTTCGGGTCCAAATAAAAATCGGTTCATAAAATCAAATATAGTAAAAACGATGTAACAAGACGATAATCATTTAATCTAGCAATTAGTTCACTCAATCCACTTAATTGAAGAGAATTAAAACCGTCTTATGAAAATTTTAATTATAAAAAATAATAGAATTTATTTGAGCGATTTTTAACTGAAAATATAAATTATAAATTCCTAATAAATGATTTATATATCTTTAAACTTCTAAAAAGTTCAAACTGGTGCACAATAGATCAAACTGGTCGCAGTGCATAGGAGCCTTAACCTAACGCAAAACCCCCAAACACCATTACCAAACGTCTATAAACTTTAAGTCAGGAATATTGAATATTTTTTCCTTTGATAAGTTCTAAGGTTTATCATTTTTATATAACCTTAGCTTTTAAAAAAGGTATGTTTTAAAAAGATGCCCACTTGCTTGGGCGTTGCTTTAAATCGAGAATTGCCAAAGCACTTTACAGACTTTACAGTAAGCTTTACTTCAAATGCTTTTAACTCATTCTTATTTGCCATCCAATTTACATATGCCCATTCGCATTTTCAATAACTTAATCGTTAGATTTTGATTTTGTTAGTTTATAAGTTAGTACTTTATACAAATTATACTTTATACTGCCTTTAAGATTAGATATTTAATATGAGCTTATAGTACAACAACCCAAACTCTGGTTGCTTAAATTTTGAAACTAATATTTAATTATAAACAAATGCCATAAATAAAATGATAGATAAAAATCAACACACAATACTCATTTCTCTATAGAATCTCATAAAATTTGTACATATATTAAATAATGATTAATAATTATAACAATTTTCCATAAAAAATTAATCAAAACTTATCATTTTTATAAATAATGTGTAACAAATAAATTTTTAACTATATATATACCACTATATTATTCAAAATATGTTATTATGCCATTTAGTTAATCAATTAAACACACATGTGCTGTATTTTAGTCATAAGTTTCTAAAAGAGAATTACATATTGCAGGCTTCCATGTATACATAAACAGAGTTTTTTTTAACAAATATTAAAATTTTTAAATTAATAAAAAGTTTATACTACTTCATAATTTGAGTTCACTTTTTAAACATAACTTAGAGACTAATGTGAACCTTTGTAAAAGAAACAGTTCTTTAATTTTTATTTTTATATATATTATAGTTCTTTTCCGAATGACAAAAACGCCAACGTTCGAAGTTTAGTTACTATTTTTAAGTTACAATTCTCTAGTATTGTTCCACTATAAATAGATTAGTTGTTACGTAAATAAATAACATCCCGTCCTAATGATAATGTCAAAAACTTAGAAATGTTGCCAATTTAAATATAGGAAAGAACTATATAACAGACTGTTTTTTTTTACAAAATCCCACATAAGCCTTTAAATAACTTACAAATTAAAAGGTTTATAAAATGGTATTTTTTTTGTTGATAATTTCATACATATATATAATGCAAAAAATTGAAAAATGCTCTTTCATTCAGTGTGTTTTACTTTTAATCAACAAAAAAATGTATCTAGATAAAAAACCAAGAAAATTTGATGACCGACTTTAGTCAATTATAGCTTTTGTGTATAATTTTACTTATAATCAAAAACAAAAAAAAAATTAATAAATACATTTTAATAATTATTAAACAATTTAATTGTACAAACATTTTAATTAGTTTTGTATAAATTACAATATATAATGTTTATTATTTAATTCCTTATCTATAGAATACAATTGTGTTATTTGACAGTCTTTATTCAATGTGATTATTTTTTCCTTACTTCTATATTATATATTATCTTTAACTGTGGAACATAGTTAACGTTTTATAAATAACATAAATACAATACTAGTACCTTACACTACTTTCACAAAATTCTTATTACTTAACAATATAATTCACAACTTCAAAGTTTTCAACTCGGCCAACCTACCTAGAGACATGATCTACATGTCTAGTATGACCCACTTCCAGTTGTGTCAGATGTCAGTTCTCAATATCTCATTGGGAAAGGTGTTTATGTACATGTGGCCCCCAATATATCGAAACTAACTCTTAATTTGTCCCTATAGTAGCGTCGAACGGTTCTAATAACTACAAAAACTTTCTCGAAAAATTACATTAGTTTACAGCCAAAAATTTCCAAAGACGAGACTTATATTTCTTATAGGGAAATTTTTCGTAGAACTCGAAAATCATAACGATTTTTTTCTGTGTACCATTTACGAGTTATTTGCGAAAAACCGTTGCGAAAAATCACATGCATAAATCTCATTCCAGAATACAACGAATGAAGTGAAGTAAATAATCAAAAAGCTTAACATTAAGGAAGTAAGTACATCTAAGCCATAAGGAAGAGTTGGGTACAGGTGTTTATTCCATAATTTTTATAATTACGATGATATAAACACGCGAACATGTTCATCTAAGTAGAAGATCAAATAGAAAAAAAATAGGTGAAAAGTGGCTGAATCAATTATTTGTAATACAAGACTTTAGCTTGTTCATAAAGTTGATTGTGATTTTTTGAAGAATATACAACTCTTAGATATTTAAATTTATTAATAAGTTTAACAGAAGATTCATTAAGTACACGTTTAATATTTGAGGGCTTGTAAACCCAAGGACCATCGCGGATACTTCCAGTAAAGGCAATGGCTGAAACTTTTAGCGGATTTAGTTTTAGTTTTGAAGTATAATAGTAACTGAACAAGAGTAAATATTGATTAAGAGAATTACTGACCCTGCGAGTACACTGAACTGAAACATTAACAAGTAGAGGACGTAGAACATACACTTATGGATGTCGGCCCCGACCGAAAATTATCTGGAGAGCTTGAACTGATGAAGCTTGAATGTAAGGCCTTGGATTCACGCCGTACCAAAGACTTTTTCACTATCCAAACTCCGCACTACGAACGATAGCTTGAAGGAAGAGATTTAGGTTTACAATTTTTACAAATGAATATGACTATTGCCCTCGTCCATAGCCAAGAAAAATAACCAATGTTATAAGCATAATAAAAATTTGTTTCACATTTGCAGATTAAGAGAAATACCATCTACGCAAGTAGATTTCTTAGGTATTTTAGACTTAAGAAACTAAAAAAAACCGGAGGGAGTAAAGAATCTATTAGGGTCAAGTGTATTAGCACAGTTAAGTGGGTAACACACGCAAAAGTTAATAAGACTTTGTTCGAAGTCACTATATAAATAATGGATGAAGTTGTAAAAATGTTAGTCTTGATGAAGTTATTAGACATATTCTTACTAAGTAAGAGCAAAAATTTGCAACATGATACTTAAGGCAAACGAGAATAACGACTCTATATTGGACAAATGCGCATTTATGGCAGAAGCATATTTGGCTGGAGTTTTGGCAATATTATTAATAATAATTTAAATGGGAGGTTTGGTAACATTAATGGACTTAGTAACGGTATCTGCAGGACGTTGGGGAGTGCTACAGTTTTTAGCCACAAAGGCAGACGATGTGTCAGGCTTTACAGTTGAAAATAAAAGACAGGAGTTATAGGCAATGAAGCTTTTGATTTGATTGCACGTAAGGCATGAAATTCCCTGAACTTAAAGCAGCTACAATAAGCTGAATGACGTGTTTGACCACAATTGCAACTTCTTGAAGGGCTTTCAGAATTTGTTGTTTAGTTACTGGGCCAAAAGCTCTAAACGGAGTATGCAAGCACCCTTAATATGTGAGTTTTTGCAGCCCACATACCAAAAATGAAAATTTCGCATTTTCGTCATGCTTGCCAATATCAACTTGACCACATATCTACAAGGTGTTGACACCTGTTGGGCATCATAAAATGGCAGAGGTACTACAATAAAGATTTTTTTTTAACCTTTATGTGCTCGGTAGTCTACATTTGTAGCATTTTGTGCGAAAAAGTCTTATAAAAACGAATTTTGCACAACGACAGGGTGCGAGATTTTTAGTAGTTTCCTAAAAATCAATTTTAAGTTAATTTTAAACTTAACAGCATCAAAACAATAATTTATTTAAGCCCTAGACCCAACTTTTCAAACTGATCACCTCCTGGCCGGTAGTCTACATTTGTAGTCACCATATAATTTATATGAAAATTCATATTAAATACCTATGTAACTCAATATTTTTTAGTTCCAACATGCAGAAACATGTTCCTTTGTAATTTATTTTATTCTCTGTTTACTTGTACATACTTGTGCTGCATATTTGTACTTATATGCATGATTTTATGGTTTAGATCGCAACAGTAGGAGGATTAGGAACCGCAGTTCATACTGCTGTAATCAATTTTCTGCTTATGCTCAATCTGATTACAATGTAATGCTTTCGATCCGCTTTCGATTGGTTAATTTGGTAATGAAATAGTTTATTTGAAACATAGAGCAGTAAAATAAAATGAGAATATTGGAAAATATGATTGAA